AAGCAGCCTGCCAGCTTCATTTCAAGCAGCACGTGTCACGCAATTCCGAAGGTCGGTATGTAGTGGCACTTCCCTTCAACGAGAAAAAGGCTCAACTCGGCACCTCATTCCTCCAGGCGAAACGTCGCCTTCTCTCACTAGAACGAAAATTCCAATGGAACTCCAAGCTAGCAGAAGAGTATACCAAGGTCATCAACGAGTACATTGACCTTGGCCACATGAAGAAAGTTGACACAGAGGTAGAAGATGGCTTCTACCTTCCCCACCATGCAGTCATCAAGGAGACCAGCCTCGCCACCAAGACTAGAGTTGTCTTCGATGGATCAGCTCGCTCCAGTACTGGTGTATCTCTCAATGACGCCCTGATGGTTGGTCTAACTATTCAGGACGATATTCGATCTCTAGTGCTACGATTCAGGCTCCACAATTACATACTCACTGGTGACATCGAGAAGATGTATCGCCAGGTTCTTGTGAGACCCGAAGACACGAAATATCAACGTATTCTCTGGCGAGAGAAAGATAAGATCAACACATACTAGTTGCAGACAGTGACGTTTGGACTCTCCTCTGCTCCATTCTTAGCAGTCAGATGCCTACACCAGTTGGCTGATGATGAACACGAGAGGTACCCAGTAGCAGCTGAACGACTAAAACGAGACCTCTATGTCGATGATCTTCTCACTGGGGCAGCTACACTTGAAGAAGCCCTGCACCTCAGAGATGACATCATGAACCTGCTCAAAGAAGGCGGCTTCAACCTACGACAGTGTGCCTCCAACTCCCCAGACATTCTCCAAGGTCTACCAGAGTCAACCGTCAATCTTCAATTACTCGGTGGGGATGATCCTACCCTCAAAACCCTAGGAATCCATTAGGATTCGCAGAATGATAGTATTGTGTATACTGTCAACCCCATCGCCACCAGGGATGTCATCACCATGAGGACCATTGCATCAGAAGTTGCACGAATCTTCGATTCACTTGGATTATTGAATCCAGTGGTAACACACGCCAAGATCATACAACAAGAACTCTGGAGGCTCAAATTAAATTGGGATGACTCTACACCGACAGAAATTCATACTAAATGGAATGAATTTGCATCACAACTTCCTCTCCTCAACAAAATGCAGTTCAAACGACAAGTTACATCGAATCTCAAGCATTTAGAAGTGCACGGTTTCTGTGATGCCAGCCAGAGTGCGTACGGAGCCTGCAATTATCTCAAGTCAATCGATGACAACGGAAAAAGCCAGATCAACCTCTACTGTGCTAAATCTCGAATCACTCCTCTCAAAGGCAATCACACCATCCCTCGCTTGGAACTCTGTGCAATGGAACTCCTCTCTAACCTGTATGACACAGTGAAGAAAGCAACAGACCTTACACCATAACGAGAAGTTTTTTGGTCAGACTCTACTGTCGCTCTCCACTGGATTAGAACATCTCCTCACCTCCTTTAACGATTCGTGGCTAACAGGGTGTCTCGAATCCAAGATCTCACCAAGAACATAGAGTGGAGACATGTACGCACACACGACAATCCCGCAGATGCAGTATCCAGGGGTGAACTTGCCTCTGACTTCTTGAAGAATCATCTGTGGCTGCATGGACCCAGCTGGCTCCATGATCCTGAAGAGCATTGGCCTCATCTCCTCATAGAAAAGCCCTCAGAATTACCTGAACTTCAAAAAATTGCTTGTCTTCATGTCACTGAACCCGCCAGCAATCTCTTTCTACGTCGGTATTCCTAATTTGAAAAGCTCAAACGAATCACTGGATGGTGCTTAAGGTGGCGCAAGAGACTTTCCCACAAATATCTCACTCTCCCAGAACTTGAAGCAGCCGAAACTAAACTTCTCCAACTAGTTCAAGAAGAAGCCTTCTCCACAGAACTCTCACTACTTCGGCAAGGAAAACCTCTTTCTTCAAAAAATCGTTTAAAAAACCTCAGTTTGAAACTCGATGACAATGGACTCATTCGAGTTGGTGGTCGGCTAAGAAAGGCTCGTAATTTTGCCCTAGATGGCAAACATCCCATATTGCTATCAANTTTTGAAACTCGATGACAAAGGACTCATTCGAGTTGGTGGTCGGCTAAGAAAGGCTCGTAATTTTCCCTTAGATGGCAAACATCCCACATTGCTACCAAAGGGGCATTACATCACTCACCTCCTCATCAAGAAAGCTCACTTGGCCAATCTTCACCCAGGCATCCAGACAACTCTTCATCTACTCAGGCAGCGATACTGGCCCATTGATGGGCGCAGTCAAGTACGATTCATCATTCACAAGTGCATCAACTGTGCCAAGGTAGATCCACCTTCAGTCAACTATCCCATGGCAGATCTCCCGAGCGCACGCATCACACAGGCAAACCCCTTCACTCACACTGGTGTGGACTATTGTGTTCCCTTCCTCATCAAAGAACGAAGTAATCTCAAGAAAATAAAAATTTGGGTCAGCATATTCGTGTGCTTCAGAACAAAGGCAGTACACATCGAACTCGTCAATGACTTGACCAGTGAATAATTTTTGGCTACACTCAGCCGATTCATCTCTCGACATCTTTCGTGCAAGGCTCTCCACTCAGATAATGCAACAACATTCATCGGTGCAAACAAAGAGTTGAAGGAACTCTATACACTTCTCAACGATGAAAAGCACGGTGAATTCATCAATCGAAAGCTGAATGAACAAGGCATCGAATGGAATTTCATTCCCCCTGTATCTCCTCATTGCGGTGGCATCTGGGAAGCTGCCGTGAAGTCTTGTAAGCAACATATGAAAAGAGTTATTGGAAATGAATTGTTAACATATCAACAGTTCAATACTTTCTGCATCAAAATTGAGGGAATCCTCAATTCAAGACTATTGACTCCATTATCATCCGATCCAAACGATTTCAACGCTCTCACGCCTGCTCACTTCCTGCATGGAGACATTACCACTGATCTCCCTGCACCTGATTGGACAGAGGTCCCTAGCAATCGTCTCTCTTACTGGCAACACCTTGAGAAGATTAAGCAACATTTCTGGAATCGGTGGCATAAGGAGTACCTCTCCGAACTCAACATCCGTCATAAGTGGACTTCAGGACACCATGACATTAGCGTTGGAGCATTAGTGCTCTTGCGCGACGACAATTTACCCCCGCTAAAATGGCGCATGGGCCGTGTCATTGAAATCTACCCATCAGACGATGGCATCACCAGGAAGGCTAGGCTGCGGACATCTACTGGAGAAGTAGATCGAAACGTTCGACGCTTGGCACCACTGCCCGTGGACTCCAGCAACTCCAAGGAATAATTGATCGCTCAACTCTCAACGGGGGAGTATGTTGCGTATCAAGTACGCGAAATTAACAATCTTTCTATTTTTAAATATTTAATTCAATCCTTGAAAATTTCCCATTTTTATTTTAGTATTTTTCCCAAATAATTCTTAGAATTTTAATTATACTCAGCTTTGTCCTCTAGAAAAATTGTAAACTCATAAAATCACCCGAAAATATTTCTCAAATATCTCTTTTAGACCCTTCAGAATTATTTTATTGAAATAATCCTCATATTTCCTCAAGTTTGTAAAGACATTTCTCAGAAATTTAATCACTGCCAAAATTTGTCCTAATCCCTTCATTCAACTCAAAAATTTGTATTTCCAAATTACTTTATAGTTTCTTTCCGTTTATTGCGCTCGACCCTCAACGGTCCCTCAATATTTTCGCCCAGACGCCCTTTATTGGGGAATAGGCCCAAGGCGCGCCAATTTCTCCCTCTCTCCCTACTTCCTGCACTTCCGAATTTTCCATGATACCTCTCCAATCAGAATATTGTCCCTCCCATCACAGGTCATTTTGACCAATCATTTGAAAATTTAGAAAAATCATTTTC